TCAATCATTAATTATTTTATGAGTAAAGACAAGATTAATGAAATTTTCATATTTGTCTTCTGTATCTGATTCATCATTAAGAAATTCCAGAAAGGAATTTTGAATACTTTTCATTTTATCAACAAATGCATAAGAACTCATTTTTCTAAACTAAATCTTTGTCAAAATTTAGCCAAAATTAAGTTTTTATGATTTTTACTTGTAAAATACTTATAAAATTTCATCGTTATTTCATGTTTTTTGGAATAAAAATATGTTATAAATAATTTTTTTAAGGGTTTATTGATCAGTTTTCATGTAAACCTTTCAATATTGAAAAAACTCATAGAATATTATAATTCTGAGAGCACTCCCAATGAAAAAATTATTGTCAAAAGAGTATATCATATTATTTGGAAATTTATCAAGCAAGGTTTTTATCCAATTAAATAAAAGAGTTTGCAAAAATACAAGGGCTTAAGGTACAAATCCAGTACGTTTAGTAACCGCAATTTTTTTTGACATTCTCAAAGAATAAGATGAAATGTTAAATAAAAAACGATTATTTTCATCCATTTCATATAACATGTCATAATGTTTATTTAAATTGTAAAATAAGTGTCAAAAACAAACCTAGTCAATTTAAACTTTTTCAGAGGCATGCAACTATTCAAATAATAAACGTTCTCCTATTCAAAAAATAACGTACTGGATTTGTACCTTAAAATTGAAAAATGAGATATTCAATATTTAAATCCAAGAGTTTTGAAAAAAGATCATATCTATTTCCCCGAACAAGGTCGAACTAGTGATTTTGCTATTTTTACAATGGAATTTGCCCGTTGTCTTATGCATGAAGGAGATATTAATGATATTAATCTAATGAATATTCAAGTTTGCAGAGAGAGACAGCGACAAGAATTAGAAAATTACAAGCTTGTTAAAAATATAAATATCCTCAACCTGACCGTTACAAAATAAAAAGTAACTTTTCGTTCCATCCTCATTCTCAAAAAATTTCCAAGACAACAATGAAACAAAAAACTCGTTCAATTAAAACATCAAGTTTAACTGATAGGGGAAAAGATAAATTAACTGCAATTATTCTCGATCCTGCAATGAATGAGATGTTACAGGATAATGTTCTCAATAATTATATCTTTCACATTGATAATAAAAGAATTCAAATATGCATTTCATCATTAATGATTATGGCATAGGTGAAAAAGTTAGTCGGACCACCCTTTTTGAATCTGCACCCGAATTTCAAAAAGATATTTTCATCAAACATTATCAATATGATATGTTTCCCATCAATACAATTAATCCATATGCCGAATACCATTCACAAGGTAACGGAACGCATTGGATTCTTGTTATTATTCATTTGACAAAGTCAAAAATTACAGTTACCATTAATGATCCTACAGGACAAGATCGAGAAAATTATTTCATAATTATGAAGCAATTCTTAACAGATCAAGGATTATTAAAGAAAGGAGTTAAATATGAGATGAAACTTGTTGATAAACCTCTTCAAGGATATAATAATGAATGTGGTCTCTTTGTTGCTGAATATGCCGAAAGATTTTTGATGAAAAGACAAATCACGTTCTCACAAAAAGACATTCAAAAAATAAGACAAAAATTACAAAAACAATTTATCAAATTATTCAACCTCCTTCACCTAAACATTCACCTAAACCTACACCTTCTCCACATCCTAAACCAAAACCAAAGGTAATTCATAGTAATTCACAACCAAAAAAGGGACAAAAAAAAATAAAAAATAGTTTAATAATCCATCTCTAATGCTGCCAAAAACAGGTCTTCATTATTTTTATTCAAAAAAATATTTCTCTTTTCCTTTATCTTGGATCTCATAGCCAACTATTCGTTCTTTTGTGTTTGAACTTCTCACATCATCATCCAATTGATTTAAATTCGATGATCCATTTGAATGAGGTAACGTCTTCTTAGAAACTTTTGAATTCTTCTTTATATAATCCATTGCAACTTAATTTGTATTTAACATGAATTTTCTTTTTTTGGTTCATAAATTATGCATTTTTTATATAAAATTTCATACCAACTTTCTTTTATTCCCTTCCATGACCATATAGATATTTTTTTATTATAAGATATATTTTAGAATTAATAAATAATGGATATATTATTTTAATAATAAAATAAACAAAATAATTAATTTTTAATTTTTATTCAATTTTAGGACACTTTACAAACGGTTGAATCCCCTATGATATATGTCATTTGTTTAAAATTTTTTTGGAAAATCCAAATTCAACTTTTCTGATACTTCAAAACTCTACACATGATTCATTTATATTCTGGAACAATATTATTAATGGAGGAAATTTCTGGCAAAACTAGCCCCAATTTATTTCAAGCCATAAAGAATTTAATATGATTGCAAAAATTTTTGCTCAGTTTGCTATAGAAATATTGTCAATACCATGTAGTGAGACTGCATGCGAAAGAGTTTTTTCTTAACTAGAAGATTTGCTCATGAATAATAAGCGTAATCTATGCTCGGACTTCGTAAATACATTACTAATAATCAGAATGAATAGTTTATTTCTTAAACAATATGGAAAAAATACTCACGACTTTATTAATGATGATCTATTGAAATTATTTAAAGAAGATATAAAAGAAGAAGATCTTAATTTTAGGTCAGATCCTCTACTTTTTAATAAATTATTATTTGCTTTTTTTAATCAAATATTGCTTTTTTATTATGAATTTTATTTAATTCTGAAACAATGATATATAAACAAAAAAAAAAAGAATATTTGAATGCTTAATCTACTTAAAATATTATATAGCAGGCAATGAATGAAAAAATAAGCCGATTGCTTGATATTCTCATAGATTATTAATTATTCTTTAAATAGTCTATTTTATAATTTAAAATGCCTTAGTTTTTTTTGTTAGATTGATATGTATTAGATTGTATTTTAAGTTGATATTATTTGAAAATCCAATTGTTCAATTATTATAATAAAAACTAAGCTCGAAATATCTTGGAAAACTGAGATTGTATGAGTTGCCTCAATCTATAGAAATATTTGAAATAAATTGAGATCTCAAAATCGTACTCGCCACTTTTTGAATGCTTTTTTCAAATAGCCTTCAATATTTGATACAGATATATCAAAAAATAATTATCTATTAGTCAACTTCGTGGATTAAGGTGGCCGTTAATTAAGTTATCAGAAACTTCCTTGATTCCTCATAAACTTTATTATCTTCAGTATTTATGAGATGATGAATTCTCCCGGAAGATACTTTGACATTGAGTTTTGGGCCTGATTTTCAATACGAGGTTACGCCTGTCTTCTAGCATTCATTTAGGGGGTCAAGTTTCAATACTTGGAGCTCAAACTTGAAAACAGTATATTTTAAGAAAAAGTGCCCAAAAATGGTTGTTTTGAAGGGGTTTGGAGTCAAAAATAATGTCCGAATTTACGTCATTTTTGATGACTAAAGAGAATGTAATAGAGGGGTTTTCATGAAAAATGGTGTACAGGAAGATATCAATCTTTTTGTAAGGGATAATTTATTAAATTAGTTTTAGAAAAACCTTGAAATTATCTAACTTAATTTCGTTTCCAAGGGGATCTGTAAACCTAATTATGAAGTCTCTTTTGTTTCCAACATACTCATATTTTCTGTTATCATCTAGTGACATTACGTTAGCATACCATACAAAACTATCTTCATATTTGTCACGTTGAATGAAATCGCTGTGGCATTCGGTTTCATCATCAAGATATCCTTTGCAAGTTGCTCTACAGTATTGGAATACGATGTATTTTGGATTCTTTGAGTAGACAAAATCGATGGGAAATTGATTCTCATAAGTGCTTTGTAATGTAATATGCCTTAATATTTTTCATTTGGATTCACGCAAAAATAAAGCCATCTACATATTCTTTCATTTAGTAGTATCCATCTGAAACACCATTCCCAAAGTATTTAACGGAACCTCTTGCCCATGTAAAGTATGTATCAGTGAATATCCACATTTCTGGTGGAGGTGGATGGACATTATTATTCGAAACATCAAAGTTATAATATGTATTGTTAGCACCTCTGAATAATGTTTGACCTTTGAATTTGATTGTAACTGTGTTTCCACCTGTATCAACACCATCGAATACATATCCGGAATTAGTACGTTCAAGTTGGAAGTTGATACAAAAGCTGGTGGCATCAGAGATAGTATTCTTATAACGTTTTCCGTCAGGTGCATTCAAAGACATTGTCCAAGAATCTTCAAGTTCATGGGATGGTCTGAGAGAGCTATCTAATTCATTTCATTAGTTCTTTTTGGGAACATGACTGTGATGTTGGTAGCATTTGAAAGAGCAATTGATTTTGAAACATCTAGACCTGCATCAGTTGCAAGACCTTGGAAACCTTAACGTACGAGTTGCTGAGATGGAATTAGAAGAGGGGTGTTGAGTTCACAAATGAGTCCATTGAGGCAGGTTTGATTCCAAAGCCAGCAAGATCTGATTTCATGGTTACAATGGTTCCACCGCGACAGTAAAGAATTACTTCTTCAGTCTTGTATGCAATGACTTTAGTAGAATCACCAAGGACTGGAAGTGTTTGGAAACCATCATTTTGCAAATCATTTGAACCATCATTTGGAGCATCTACAAGCTTGTATTCAGTTACAATTGTTGCTGGAGAACCAATTTGAGAGAACTTGTTTGAGATTGTCATGTTGGCTGGAACGTCTTGCTCTATGGTAGAACAGTTAAGGAGTTCTTCAATTTCTTTAACAACAGATGGTTGGATTTGATGCCAAACTAATACTTCAGTTGATGATTTAATTTCTTCTTCAATCTCTCCACCATAGACTAATCGATATTTGTGAATGGTAAGAGTGTAAATACTATGGTAATATTAACTGAGCTTAAGTAGAGGACTGAGTTAAAAAAAAATGCAGGGCCACAACAATTAAGAATCATTGAAAAAAATCCAAAAAATGCCTCCGATGGGGATCGAACCCACGACCCTCGGATTAAGAGTCCGATGCATCTAACCAACTGAGCTACAAAGGCTTATATAATTATATTCATCAAAATTGCCTCATCATCAATCTAAATTTAGATTTTGCTATTTTTATTTGGCCAGGTTTTCGGAAAATAATTCACTTATAATTGGAATTCGATTATCCCAACATATACATTAATCTTGAATATTCAAGATTAACAAAGATTCTGGTAAAGTAAAATTGCTTTTATTGAATAGATTGTTGGATCTGCTGGATGTATCTTTGATATTCTCGGAGTTTTAAAGTAAGAATAAAAATTGTTTCATTTTAACTTCTGATTTCCCAAAATGAAAAGAAAATTCTGCATTACTATCATTATTAATAAAGATATTTTTTTAATCAAGAAGAGGTAATTTGTTATTGTTTTTTCGTCAATTTCAAAATAACGAACAATTTTTTTATATCATATGTCGTTTGAACTCTTGGCTACTTAGATGAAACAATAAAAATAAATTCATTAATGATTTCAAATCTAATTAATTAATATTATGTTAAAAAATGTGGATTCTTTTTTATGTGAAAATTTGAAATACGTTAACTAATTTAATTCAAACGCATCAAATGTCCTCCTACTCGCGTAAATCATCAGTTAGTCGCTTTTCATTGAGCAATGCAAATAGGCCGCTTCGCTTGTCGTCTTCTATTCGTTCAGCGTCCATATCGAATGCCAAAAAAACAACTCAAGAGGCGAGATCAAAAAAAAGAATAGATCCAAAAGTTACGATTTCAAGTGATATTATACATACGCATCAAGGTCTTGAATCATTTAATGATTTAAGCATACCTAATAGCGCAAAGACGTTGACAGTCCAATATAATAAACTCACAAATTTTAAAGGATTTCCGTCTTTATTAAAACTTGAAAAACTTGATGTATCTCATAATCCAATTGAATCTCTTTTAGAAATCCCAAACCTTCCATCAATTAAAACAATTAATGTTTCATACACGCCTTTTAGTAATACAGAATTTGCAAGAATATCGCTGTTATTGCTTTTTGGAAGTACACTTCGAACGATCAATGGAGAAGGAATTCAATCAACTGAAGTAAGAATTGCGAAAGAATATCCACCAGATTGTGTTCATCTTGTACGAGCAGGATGGATAGTAACATACCCTCCTCCTAATCCTCAAGAAATTTTGAGAATTAAAAAGAAATTATCAAAGAATTTTTCAGCAAGATTCAAGAGGAGAAACGAAATTAAGCCCGTAATTGCCCCAAGAATAACAGAACACCAATCATCAAGATATAAAAAGAAACTTGATGATCAAGAAAGAGAAATGGCAAGGCTCACAGAAGAAATTAAGAAATTAGAGGCTCAAAGTGTTGCTTGAAAAAAAAAAACTTATAAATTATAATTATTGTATGGAGGATTGTTGTGCTCATTTGTTTCATTTATAAAATATTGACTAATATTGTTAGTTTTTTCTTTTTTTTTTTTTTTTTTTAATAAACGGTCGATGTAAACTTTCGTCAGTTTAGACTTTCATAAAAATTTTATTGAAAGTTTATTACTCTCACAAGTTTTTACTTGAAAAATAAGATATTATTTTACTCTCACAAGTTCTTTTAATTTGATCTCCGATGATTTTTAAAATTTTCAAAGTTTTATAAAAACGTTAAATGAATTTTTATGATAACGTATTATCAGAATTTATTGAAATAAAATAATGTACGTTGAATTCAGAAAATTAATATTTTCTGAAATTTTTAACAAATTTTTCTTTTGAATCATTCAATTTTTAACAAATTTTTCAATAAAAGTAATTTTTAAATACATTAAAAAAAAAACAATAAATGAAACGATTGCGCCCCACTTTGGTCCATCTTCCTAAAATAGGAATTGCTAATCCATATCAACATATTCAGCATTTTCATCAGCAACAAATTCAGCGTGCTGAGAACGTTAACAATCCGATAAAGAAAACATTTAATGTCCCACTCCCCCCTCTTCACTTAAATTCTCCGCCAAATACATGCCGTGCCAGACGAAATCAATTTGCAAAGTCTTCAAGTATCGCAGCACAATTTAGTCAAGAAATTATTGAACAAAAAAAAAACGAAAAGAAAGTTGAGAAAGAAAACGAAAATATTGTAGTCAATATTGAAAGCAATGCTGTTAATGAAAAGCAAAAAAAGCAGCAACCAGTTACTGCAGAATATGTTTTAAGTAATTACTCAAATTTATTATTTGAATTTGAAAAAAAAGAAGTTGAAAATTATCAAGAAATTTATTATATAAGACAAGAATCTCCAAAAAAGAGGACTTATCCACAAAAAATTCCTAATTTCTTCCCCTTTGTCCAAAATGATCATATTGCTTACAGATATCAGCAACTTGAATTGATGGGGAAAGGAGCTTTTGGATCAGTAATTAAATGTTTTGATCATAAAAATGGAAGAAGAGTTGCGGTTAAAATGATTAGAGATCAATTAAAATATCATGATCAAACAAGACTTGAACGTGATATCTTGAAAATAATGCAAGGTTCCAATAGGGTTGTTAGATTTTTGAAATCTTTCACTTTCAGAGGTTTCTTTTGTATTGTTACTGAATTATTGTATAAGGACTGTTATACAGTATTAAGAAGTCAAAGATTCTACGGTTTTAGTTTATCGATGATGCAAACAATTGCAAAACAAGTTGCTGAAGCAATTTCTTTTGCACATAAAAATAACATTATCCATTGCGATATTAAACCTGAAAATGTAATGTTTACAAATAAAAGAAAACTGAGTGTTAAATTGGTAGATTACGGATGCTCATGTTATCGAGATAAAATATTGTTTTCGTATATTCAATCAAGATACTTCAGAGCGCCAGAAGTTGCTTTAGGTATTCACTACGGACCTGAAATTGATGTTTGGAGCTATGCATGCGTTCTTGTTGAGCTTTTTACTGGAAAGCCTTTGTTCCCTGCTAATACTGAACAAGAATTGCTCGGAATGTTTGTTTCATATTTCGGAAATCCTCCCCCAGAGTTAATTACTGGAAAGCGAGCAGAGAAGTTATTCGATAGCGAAGGGAATATGAAAGAAACTATTTCCGAATATACAACACATCAAGGCCAAAAAAATGCAAAAATTGTTCCGTCTTCTCATTCAATTGACGATTTATTCAATATTAATAATCAATGCCAAGAACAAGAGGTCAATGAAGGAGTAAAGCAGCTATGTGATCTCATTAAGAAATGCTTATGTTGGTTACCAAAGGATAGAATTACGATGGAAGAAATTCTTAATCACCCTTTCATTACAAATCCGGATATTAAAAACTCCGAAACGGCGCTACCTACACTTTCTGCAAGATGAAATAAGGAAATTTATTATTTTTGTTTGTAAAATTATCTTACCTTTTTATTAAATCATGCTATAGTGAATCAACTTATATTTTTATATCAAAAGATGTATTAAAGGAACGAAAGAAATTTATATATATTTTCTTTCGAAACTTTTTGATAGAATAAACGTATTTTTGTAACAAAGAAATAAACTTATTTTTTTAAAGAATTTTGAGAAAATTCACTTATTGTTCTATTTTTTATTAGCTCACTTTACCAAAAAGGTAAAAATCTAACCTGTTCAGATCTGGTGAAAATGCAGAATGGGGACAAAAAGAGAGACCATTTTTTGACGCAAAATTCTGAGAGTTTTTTGATTATTTTGACAATTTGATCGGTGTGGACGAGTATTGTTTATATGAAGAGTCTTAGTATTTGATCGTTTTTTATTGATTTTTTTTGGTAATTTTTGAAAGGATAACATTAATAAAAAATTCTGAATTAAATTTTGAACCATGTGGGAGCATTTCAATAATTTGAAAACCTCTCTGTGACCAAAAAAATGGATATCATCCTGTTTGGAGAAGAAATAATCTTCTTTGATCTTGTTGATGGTTTTCCATCTGAATGTAACCACTGAATTTTAAAATCTTCAATAAAAAAAAAAAACTTTCTTCACCTGTGAGGAAAAACATCTAATTCTTCTTTTCTTGCTTGTTTGATAACAATAAGAAGTTGTTTTGATAGTTCTACTCTATCAGATTTTTGTATAGCTGAAAGCCAATGCAGAACAAAGCGTAAATGTTTAACAACAAATCCCATTCTACTGAGATGATCACACATTGTTCTTCTTGGGATTTTGATTAAGTGTCAGATATTATTTTTATCAAAACCAATTGAATAGGTGGTAAGTGTATCGTTTTTATAAAATCTTTGTTTTATTCTTTTACTGTTTCAAGTTCTTTCTCATTTAGAAAAATTGGTTTTCCAACAACTTTTTTTTTTTTTTTTCAATCATCTTGGGTTTATAATGTCACTATGAAACTGCATACAAATTCATTTGCAGTTGGACATGATTTATAGAATCAACAGTTGAAACTGTAACATAAGGTCCTGCTTTTGGACTGCCCCATCTTCCATTGATACCATCTTTACCTGAAAATTGGGAAAGAGCATTTTTTGAAAGTAGCACAACTTTGAGGTTTTCTTTATATCATATTGATAATTGAATTCATATCATTGATTATACATCTGTATCCAACACCTGTATGATACAATGGAGCAACCATTTCTCAGCATGCATAAATTATGATTGCTTTTTGACGAGGCACGCCTTGCAACTGTTGCCGTATGAGTTCTTTGTCAAGACATCGAATAAAAGGAGAAGTATCAATTGATAGAAAGTTCAATCAATCAAAAAAGGCCGTTTTTCCTTTTCTTTTCTAACAAATTTGGCAGTTTTTTAAAACACATTTCTAAAAATAATACAAATTATGCACATTCTATAAATTCATGCGAAAGAAGGAGAAATTTCACCTTAATGAAGACATCCAGATCATAAAAAATTTAGGGATGATAAAACAATATAGCAAGCTCTCGATCTTTTATCGCAAAATCCAACTCTCACTCTAGATTAGATAATTACAAAACTCCAAAAATTTGGATTTGATAAGGTATAAAAATATTCAATATCATCCAACGGCACGCAACTCTCAAAGAGATGCA